CTCTAAGTTGTTGTTGTTTTTTATCTTGAGATAATAACTTAATCAGATTTTTGCATTTTAATATTAGCTGATCCATTTTTTTAATTCCTTTATTAATACTAAGCTGAAGAGTATGTGCAGCACAAGAAATATGAGATCCAATTTCAAGTTGATGTATAGCAGACTTCATATTACTATCATTATCAGTTATAAAAGCAACTATTTTAGTTTCAAGATGAAATTCACTAATTAATTTTTTAGTTTCTTCTTTAATTATAATAGCTGTATGAGGATATGAAACTTCTTTAATAGCTAAAAGAATTTCATGTGGAATAAACTGATTTGATATCCAATGTAATGTAACTCCTAAATATGGAATATGTGCAGAAGAACTCCATAAATCAAGTGTCATACTAACATAAGTTGCTTCTTTACTAATTTTGTCTTGAATTGCAATAAAACTATTATGATATGCCTCATCAATTTTATTTTTTAACACCTTTTTACAAGGAAGCTTATATTTAGGATCTAAATCATATGAGTATTTAATAAAATCATTATTCTCAACAATTGTAAGTGGCTGCATACTATTAACTACAAATTTAAGAAGACTAATATGTAATTTTTGTGTTTGCCTTTTAGAATGTGGCCTTACAACTTCTAAAGTTTGTTCTAATGATAGTTGTATATTTGAAGATGATCCTGTTTTTCTTAATTCTTCAGCTGATTTTCTTTTTAATAAAGCTTTAGTTATTTGATGTTTACCATGAAGATGAGATTGCATTGTTGATGGAGTATTACAATATTCAAGAATTGCTTTGCAATTAGCTATCTGACAATGAACTTTTCCATCAATTGGCTGAGAAAAAAATTGCCAAACAAATGATGTCTTTGGTTTAGTTGAAGACTTAGCTTTTTTTTTTCTTTTTGCTGGTACTAATAACTCAGAAGATGAACTTGAATTTTCTAAACTAATTCTTTGACTATTATTACTAGTATTTTCTATTTCAAATTCTCTTTCATTATCAAACATATAATTACTATCAAAGAAATTATCATTATCAGAGATATAATCAAAAGAATTATCTTTATTTAATTCATCTTCATAACTATCATCTGCAATATTAGTTGATGAACTTTGCTGTTCTTCAATTTTACGATGTTTAGCACGAGTAGTAGTAGCCATATTGTAAAAATAATAATAACTTACACTATAAATATATTTTATTAATGGCTTATTATTTAAGTATCGCCAAGAAGAATGAGCTTCGAGTTTACAAGTTTATTTCTTGTTAAACTCAATAACTATAAAATTTAATATGTTTCAGTCTTGTAAATTATAATTTTAA